AAGTAGTATTGTAAAACTCTTACCATTGGTCTTTGCGAGCAAACTATTATAAGCCTTGGACTGCTTAAATTCTTGTTGAGTAATAAACTCAAAACATTTGGCATACAACTATCTGGATGCTTATTTAATCCCATATAAGCTTTGTGCAATCTACATACTTTCCCTTCTCTCCTTTTAGGATGCCCAAGAGGAAATTCTATAAACACTTCCTCATTTAAATCTCCATGTAAAAAAGTATTTTTGACATCTAATTGTTGAAAATGTCATCCTTTGATCACAACTAGAGCCAATAATATTTTTACAAAAACAATTTTGGTCATAGGTGAGAATATCTTATGATAGCCTACACTTTTTCTTTAGGTGAAATCCATAGCAACAAGTCTAGCTTTATGTCTTTCAATGGTTCCATCTGCTTTAAATTTTACTTTATAGACCTATTTGCATTTGATTGCTCTCTTCCTTGCCAGTAAATCAACTATTTTTCAGGTATTGTTTATTTTAAGAGCTTGAAGTTTGTTTTTCATTACATTTCTCCAATTTGAGTCTTTGCTAGCCTCCTCATATCAACTTGATTTATTATGTGATGGTGCAACAAGTATGTACATTTTGTGTCCCCCTATAAGTCTATTATATGCAACTATACTTGATAGGAGAACGACACCACCATTGCGAACTTCTGGATTAGGCTGCTCTATGCAGTCATTGTCTCATTGAATCTGATCACATATATAGTCCTTAAGTACTCTAGTGCCCTCTTTGTCCTTATTGGTTTTCTCTTTGGAATTTCATCATTATTTTTATGGTATTCTCTTCTTTCTTTTTCCCTATCAATTCTTTCTTAATTGTTGGATCTCTTTTATCTATGGGATTCCTAACTTCCATATCTAAAATATCTTGACCCATCACTTAGTCTCTGGTGTTGTCTTGCACAAAGATGTTTGATTTCAGTTCGTCTATTAATATATTCTTATACTCATGTACAATTTAAAAATCCTTTATACACTTCTTTTCCTTGTGAGAAAATATTTTTTTTATGAAATATTACATTATAGAAATAATGACCTCATTGATTTCTTTACCTACCAAGTTGTATCCCTTTGTACTAAAAGGATATCCTATAAACACACATTTTCTCGCTCTTGCATTGAATTTTCATCTCCCACTTAATAAAGTAGAGGTGAAAGTCAAACACCTAAATACTTTTAGATGACTATAATTTAGTTTCTTTCCATATAGAACCTCAAAAGGTGTCCTACTACCTAACACTAAAATTGATGTTTTGTTAATTAAATATGCAACAATAAAAACAAAATCACTTCAATACCTAATGTCCATTCCACTTTGGAATTTTAATGCCCTTGTAGTATTAAGTATTTGCTGATGCTTTCTTTCGACTCTTCTATTCTGTTATGGAGTTTTTACATAATTTTTTTTATGCATGATTCCCTTCTCATCATATTATATTTTTATTTTAAATTCTCTTCTATTATCAATTCTAATCATTCTTACTTTTTCTGTCAAAATGAGTCTCAATAAAAGTGTAAAAATGTTGTAAGTGCAAACCTATTTTAGCTCTTACTTTCATCATATATACCCAAATACATTTAGTAAAATAATCAACAATTGTTAAAAAATATATAGATTGATCATAAGAAATTTCATAATAAAGTTCTAAAATATCAAAATACATTAAATCAAAATATTGTTATACTTTATTACTGCTATCACAAAATGAAAGTCTATGCATTGTTTCAAACGAGCATACATAACATAACTTAAAGTCTTTACTTATTAACATATCAAAATCAAAAGTAGAGTTGTCTTTCCTCTTTGTTAGAACCTTAGAGTATCATTCTTGCAAAGATTTATTGATGTGTTTTCTAAATCCTTGGGTTGTCTAAGTTGGGATAATCCATCCTTAATCTCATATATTCCAAAGTGTCTTTTACGTCAAAAGGTCTTGGACGATACAATGTCATCGTAAAAAAATTAGGCAACATCTAATATATTGTGTTAGCATTTTTGCATATATTAAATTAAATTTAAATGAAAACACACACAACACATTGTTTAATACAAGCTTATCACTTAATTTTATTACTCCTACATGAGGTACATTTACACTTTTTCTATTTGGTAATACAACTTTAGATCCAACATTTGATGTTATCTCAGTATATAATTGTGGTATGTGTACAATGTGATCTAAGGCTGCAGTATCAATTATCCAAGGTGTATTTTTGTTTTTATTTCTACTCATTGTGCAATAACTAAAAGAAGAAAACATATCAGAGAATATAGTGAGTTTTTGATACTGAGGTTGCTCTAAAGTTGCTTTTACCATATTAACAGTACCTTAACTTTGTTGAATGAAAGTGTTGTTTAATTTGAATAAAAAACCAGAAAACAATATTTGCTTGAAGAAATAAAAGCAGTAAAGTGAAGAATAGAGAAAAAGAAAAAAGTACTGATGCAAACGTCAGTTGTTTTATTCATGCAATTTGAATTATAATTTACAGATCAAAACATAACTAACCACTAATATCATGGTCCTGAAATTTAGCCACGATTCTGCACTTGATCTACTGAAAAATAACAAACTCCTAGAAACTAAAAAGCAAATCATTAAAGAATTCAAACTATATGAAAACATTCTTGAGAACTAAGCTGCAATCCTAAACAACTTCCTAAGGACTAGGAACACAATATTTGAATAACTGATGCAATTTAAAAAACATAGAGGACACGTAGCAATCCAGATGAGAACATATAGCAGTCCAAAAGAACACGTGGCAATCCAAATGTAATTGTTTAACAGAAAGCCATAAGTTGATGAAGTCGATCCTTTGTTAACAAATTGTGTTCTTTCTCCCTTGAGTTCAGTTTGTGCATTAATAGAACATACTTGATTGATGGTGGGTTGTCTGATCTTATGTTGGAACCTTTGTTCCTTTGATTTGTTTTTATCTTTATAGCATATTTCAGTCGTATATCCTAGTAGGTTGCAATTTGTGCAAACAAGTATATTTGGGTTGGCCCTAAAGCATCTTTCCAAAGAGTGTTTAGTATTTTTGCAATAAGTATAATAACATTTCTCCTTGTTCGAGCTGATTTTTTTCGTGGTTTGTTGACCTCTTTTATACTAAAAGCTATGAGCCAATTAGTCACATAATTCAAAGAAATTTCTCTTATTTTCTCATCTTATTGGATGATAAAAAATGCTTTATTCAAACTATGAAGAAGCCTCATTGCTAAGATTTGGGATGTCAAGTTGCTATATAACTCGTTAAGTCCCTTCAAACCTCATTGTGTAATCCCTCTCCTTGTACCTAATAATGGGTTTAAGAACCCACATGTACTTTTGGGAATGAGTTCATAATTTATAAGTTCATCAACTATAAATTTGAGTTTTGAAAAATCAACCCTTACTGGCTTTTGGTTTTGTGTGAGTACAAATATAGACGGCTTAATTTGATGCACTCTGGTTGTATTTTGTTTAACATGTCTTTATTCTAGTTCACGCTATAATTGATGTGTTATATGAGCATAAAATATGTTTGTCTTAATGTCAAGTGAAAATGCATTCTATATCGAAACAATCACTATGATCACATTGTTTCCAATGCGTTCTCAATGGATCCGCTGGATCCATAGGTTGTGTTAGGGTTCCATCTATAAATTTTATTTTATCGTGTACACTCAATGTCCATTTCATAAAAATTGTCTATGTGTAATAGTCGTTGTCGGTAAGTAGTTTCGGAATAAGAACTATAATAGAATTCAATGATTTATGAAGATAGTACAAATTGTTGACATTTGAAGATCCAAATTTGTTGTGGCCAAATTCCTAAGGTTTAGGTTCGGGTTTGCGATGGTTTGGTAAAAATTTTGATCTAAATATGGTCTGAAAAGAAAATGACATTCACCAGGTTATCCAAAACTAATGGTTCATGTAAAAAATAATCACTGCAAGCAAAGGATAACAGTTGAATTGCGCAGGTGGTGTTTGGCGACGTGGAGGGCGCAGAAGTGAGAGAACCGTGAGAGAGCTCTTCGCTACAGTGTCTGGATGAAGCAGACACCTGTTTGCCTGCAAGAAATACAAGCAAGAACGCAAGAAATAGTAGCGACAATGTGTTACAAAATCAAAATACCACCACTCTAAATATGATAATTAGAAGGCTGAGCCAAGAATAGGCAGGCAGACCATGCCCTCTTCCCTTCATTCTTCCACCATTCATTATATTTTTTTTTCAATTAACTTGACTTTCAATCTTTCCCCTTTGTTCTTCCTCTGTTCTTTATTTTTTCTTTCTATCTACAATAATAATAACAATAACATCAACAACACAATTCAAATAACATTACTTATAAAAAGTTAAATTCTTCTCACTTTAACTTCCTCACCGTTTTTTTTTTTTTAATTTTCCCCCTCAATTCTTTTTCTTATCCTTATAATAATAATAATAACAATAATAATACTACAAAAACCATAATAACAATAATAAAAATAACAGTACATCTTTATTTTCTAATATCCCACATCGCTTCTCTTCATCTTTTATTAAATTACTTCTTTCAATAGCTTATTACTCTTATTATCACTAATACAGCTTAAACAATACCTATAATTAATCAAATCCATTATTACACTTTGTATTTATCATAATTACTACTTAAATCGAATAAAAATTGGATATTGTCAAAATATGACTATCGGATAAAAGAAAAAGTACAGCGACATTCTTTATGCATGATGCCACAATGTAACAACGAGTATTTGGTTAAATCAGACGAAAGTTCAAGTACGACAAGACTCCTTATGCATGGCATCAGAAAAAAAAAAAAAAAAGAAAAAAAAGAAAAAGAAAACCTAAACTGCCAACTTACAATATCTGAACCGACTTACACAGCACTTATATTTCAGTAAGCATGTTACCGAATCACACAGCACCTTCTTCAGCAAGCATATTACATAAACTTATTCCCACTCAAATCCAGATACTCAACCACCAGCAATCTTCTCACTTGCATATAAAATTGTCCAACTGCTTACAGGAGATAAAATTAAAAGCAAACCAAAATTTGTGATGATCATCAGCAGCTAAAAGTTTTACATGATTCAACACTATACCACCGAGCTCCATAGAAAAAACAAACACGCAGTCTCTAGTACGCTACAAGAACATTCACATCATATCATGCTACCGTTATTCCATTCCATCCCCCTTTGAAACTGACTGATATACACTAAGTAGCTCTATACGATATATCACATGGTGGCCTCGTTGAGTCTAGCAGCAGCAGCCATAGACGCTGCAACTCCACCTGGTTGCGTTTCCATATTCGGATTATTCCTTAATTCTGCACTGGCCACCCCTTCCGCATCCTGCCTCGTCACCACTTTATCAGCCGGTAGTTTCCCCGTAGCACCCTGAAACACGGAATGAATATATCAAACCTTAGTTCGTAAAATTAGCCAGAAGAATGAAATAGATAACTGTGATAGTTACCGTTAGAAGATCGCCGAGCTTAATCTTGTCTACATCGCGGTCCACTGTGGCATTATAAGCTGCAGCAGAATGAGCAGAAGAGGCAAGACCGCCTGGGATAATGACATTGCTGCCCGTTGCTCTAACTTCTGCTGCTTGAATTGCAGAGGCATCGCCTTGATCGACAGGTTTATTACCGGCTGTTTGTGCCGTTGCTTCCAGTGCTTCTCCTATGGTTATTGCAGCCTGCTCCGCAGCATCCACCGCCACTGTCCCGCCGACCACTGTTCCAACTGGCGTTGGCTCCACGTACTGACCAACAACCTACACAAAATTTTATATTTTTTATTCAATCCTATAAGTTAATATGACGTAAAGAAGAGAAGGAGAGAAGGAAGGACATAGACAAACCTGTCCGCCAACTGACTCGGTGGTGATGCGGGCACCGGGAACTTCAGTCCGTCTGACGGTGACACCTCGGTCTCCGGCAATATCACTGGTATCCCTGTGACCGACAAAACCAGCTCGCTCATTCTGGGTGGCTGCAGCCTGCATGACAGAAGCTGGTCCGCCCCTCTGGGTCTGTCCAAGCACCCTGGTTTCAGCAGACTGCATCATGGCAGCATCTTCAGGGGCCACTGGCCTGGATGCAAGATCCCCAGAGACGGGGAAAACATCGCCGTATCGGACAGGTTCTTCGTCCCTGAGAGGCCTACTAGGTTGTTCTTGGCTCATCTTTGATGATATATGAAACGACAATGAACAGAGTCAGACTCGACTATTTGAAAAGGATTTAGCGGTGAATTTCTAGTTTATTGGAGAAATGAACTGATAGACGCGTGGGCTTACTTAGAACACGTGGTACAGAACTAGATTACAGACGGCAATAGGTGAATTAAGTGGGCTGTCATGAGAGGTGACTGCTGGCAGGGAAGTTTAGGCGACACGTGCCAGCAACGTTTCAACACGTGTGGACAATCCTGTCTTTTACCTCGTATGCATCAGATGTATTAATTATAAGGAGAGGTATATATATTTTTGCCGAAAATATTTCTACATTAGATGTTTTTAGTAAATTATGAGAATTTTTTTTCTTACATTGTCGTTAGTTTCTTTTTCGACTTTTACTCTTTATAATTTTGTTTAATCTTTTTATTTCTCTTCTCTTGTTTCTTTGTTTTTTCCGATTTTTACTTCTGTTATGTAAACTTTAAAAAAAAAAAAAAAATTGGTTCTATTATTTTTCTTAATTTCCCTCACTCTTATGTTAAAGAAGGCCCCCGGTCATTAGTCATGTCCCTCAATCTGGCAAAGTAATACTTTTTTCTTCCTTCCTAGGGCTCTAAAATAAATATGCAACTCTCAACAATCAACCACACAAACAGTTCAAGTTTTCATGAAATCATGTTTTCCTCCTAGGCACAACAGTAAGATCCAGCACCTCATTCTGGTCATGCTACAATATCAAACCATGTTTCTGAGGAGGAAGTTAATAAAGAAAAGAAAAAAACACACACCCAATATCACTGTGTATATAGCTAACAACCACATAATATAAGAAAATGTAGTTATGCATTTTCCAGAGATTTCTATTTACATATTCTAACACTCTATTTCTACTCCACGCTCATTGACGCTCTCATGAGCAGCAGCCCTTTAGGAAGCTTCATTACTAGCAACCTCCAAACCGTTACCTGCACATTTCCATGTATATGATTATGAAGGCATGACTGAGTGCCAAAAACTTGAACTAGTATTCAGTATCTTCTGTAGGAATTAATCAACAAAATTAGCTAAGTACCGAACCTTACCATCTGGGTCAAAGAAGAACACTTGTTTGACCTTCCCATCAGGAAGAGACTTCTGGAAAGTTTCTATTCCCTTCTCCTGCAAAACATACTTGGTTGAAGTCTCCTTAGAGAAAAGAATGTTGACGTTTAACTTAGGTGGTGTGTTGATTTTCCACCTACCCCACTTCATGGATCCATGCATTCTCCATCCCTACTAACTTTTTCTCCCTTTCCTTTCTCCTATAAAAGGAGTGTGTGTGCGTAGAAGGCAGAGTGTAGGGAAGGGCTAGAAAAGGAGAGGTGAAGAGTGTGGGAAGCATTGAGATTTTCTATAAAAATGGTCTTTTATTATCCTTTGCAATCTAGGTTTTCAGAAAGTATATCAAGTTCGAGAGATGGTGAGAGTTTTGTGAGGAATTTATCATTCTCATTGTATTTGTGATGATTGGAATATAGTGGATATTTTTGTGGAGGTTGGTCATGCGGACTGAGCCATGTTTCTTTTGTGTGTTTTTGCTCTGTTCTTTATTTTATTATTTGTGGAGTGAAAACATTCCCAACAACTTCCATCAGATTTGTTATGACTGCAATTTGAATGGAAAACTACGCACAAAAAAGGAAGATGAACATTAATGGTCATTGCCGCCGCCACCAACCACCTTTCCTGTCATCGTTTGTGGTGATGTGATGGCGAATTGGAGAAAGTATAACAGACAAATTAATTTATCATGCGGCAGCGCACAATAAGATACTGCTTGTCTAAAAAATCTTGAAAAGGAATTGGAATACAAAAATCCTGAAATGATTAGGGTTGATGCCTGGCTATCTATGCAGTGGGAGGCAGTTACAATTTGGCTCTAACTTTTTCTGGAAAATAAATACAGTGGAGGAGACAACATCGAAGGCATTATTGAACAAGTTTATGATTCAAAATCCCTACCTAACTCGTTAGGCATGAAGATGAAAACTCCTACACACTGAAGATGGAGGAAGGAGGTACCCTCTTAAAGCACATTAATTTTTTTGCAGTCAGTTATTTTGTTAATGGTTAAAAACTGGTAAAATATTGGGAGAATAAAATTAAAGCTTGATGATGTTGTTACTCAACTAAGAGAGACAGAAAATATGAGAAAGGAAAGATATTGATAAGGAGCACGTGTTACTTGTGGAGAACTTACAACAAGGGGCAGAGTTGCTCACAATCAAGAGGTGGTCCTCGTGAAAAATTTCAATTAAGGGAGGCGATCAATGTGGAGTTTCACTACTGCAGGGAGAAGGGTCATATGCCCTGATCAAAGAACTTAAGAAGCTTCAAGCAACATCACGAGAAAGGCAAGAAAAAGATGAAGAGAAATGATGAGAACTCAATAAATTTCGTGTATGATGGTACTGATGTAATGTGTAGACCAAATCAATGACGCATCTGGAACATGATACGTTCATATTAATTTTCTAACATTTCATAATAATTCAGTAACTTGATGTATTTATGATGCTACTAAGACATTTTTATAGCAATTTTCTAATATTTCATAATAATTTAGTAACTTTATATAGTAATTGCTCAGTATGTAAAAAATAAGTTCCTGCACAATCTTAAGTTACTGAATTATTTGGGAATTTGATGGAGATAATGGTGCCCCCAAGACACTATACTACAACCCCAGTAAACAGATATCACAACTCTGAAAGTTTATCCTAACTTCAAAAACCATCTCTTCTAGATATCATCAACTCCCCAGATTATTTCATGTCAGTTGGTGTAAAAAGGAAATCTGCAAGACTTATATATCAGTGCCTGTTCGACACAATATAGGCACAGTTTGAAGTTTTGACAAGGGAGATCTGTTGATACAGTTTCTACGGATACATGACGATTCCCTTCAATTGGCGTCAAGCTTAATCCAATACGGCACACTAGCAATATATTATGCTTTCTCATAGATTAACAACAAAAGACGAAGTGTTTTCAGTGAATGCCACATTTCGACATTAACGACCCTCACAAACTGTGACACAATCCTAAATTAGCGATACCCCCTGAATTTGGTCAGGCCTAATCAAGAATGAACGTAATCAGGAAAATCACAGGAGCGTGAAACAATCACCACGATGACATAAAAAACAAAAGAGAATTTATGCCGAAAAAATAAACCCCGAAACGAGGGTGGCAAAAACATGGGTACCTTGAGAGATTGAACGAAGGAATCGAAATTGGAGACAGAGAAACAGATATGATGGCCTCTTGGGAGATGGCTTGGGTCAAGAACAGGAGAAGTGGCGCTATAGGGACTTTCTGGAAGCTTCGTAAGGAGACTTCGCTCAATGAGGTGCATCGTGAATGCTCCAGGGAGGTTCAGCCAAATCACCTTAAACTCCTTGAAACTCGGGCTCTCTATCTCCTCGAAACCAAATACCTAGTTATAGATTTCAGTCAACCGGACCTACATCACCAAACCACGAAAAAGAAAAGGAGAAAGAAGAGAAAACATCTATAGTCGGAAAAATTGAGAGCTCTGGTTTTAGGATTACGGACCTCTTTGTAAAAATTAGAAAGACGCCTTATATCAGAGGATTCTCTGGACATATGGTTGAGGGTCGCTCCTCTCGCCAACGCCATCTTTATCACTTTCCTCTCTCGTCTCTGGTTCCTTTTCCTACACCATTACTCAACCTTTCGGATTCCTTGGCCGTTTTATCACACTGGCCGCGAGCATCTTCCACCTGCCGATTTGCGGTTATTTTGGTGAAAACGACCCCGTTTAGTTAGAAGTTGAATCGTGTTCGCGAAAAGGCGGCGTTT